CCTCCAAGGGAAAAAAAAACACTGATGTCCTAGAAGGGAAGTTCTCAATACAAATGGGATGAGGAATTTCTTGGGAAGAAGTCTTAGTGGTCAGTGCAGAGAGACAGGAATAGAAAACTAGTATATGAGAAGCAGGTCCATCCTGTGTGAGCCATCCTGGATGAAGCCAACCCCAGGCTCCACTTGGGGACATGGAGAGTGCAGAGGTGAGATAGACTCAAAAGGCTCCATAAAAATTGGGCAAAAATGGGAGAATGAGCCTGAAGTTGTTACCTGTGTATGGCAGTGAGGGTGGCTGCTGGGGTGAAACAAAAGACCTTGGTGGATATGAAGTGCAGCATCTAGAGAGAGAAGTGGAGACAATCCTATTTGGAGTAACATCTCTATGACTTATACACTAGAGATGTGTTTTGTTGGGACAGGAGGGAAATCTGAGGCTCAATCTGTCCTGAATTTATGCAGACCTAATACCAGAGATTTTTTTTCCGGAGAAACTTGAGGGATGGAGAACAGATCAGCCATGTCTGTAGTAATAAATTGAACTGGACCAAGTTATGGGCAGTGAGACATGCTTGCCAAGTGTTTAGTGTGTTGTTTAAATGTTATCAGTATCTTTGCTGTAGCTTAGGAATGGGTCAGTTAGACATCTCCTGAACAAATTTTGGGCATGGTTCAAGAATTAGCCTAGACCAGGAACAGTTCTTGGTACATAACTGTCTTATTTTGGAGGCCAAGAGATCTGGTGAGTAGTCTTCCATTTCACCAGAAAACTTTCTCTAGACTTTTTAGTTGCTGATATAAAGGGAAGGTTACTCCAGTCAGGCAGATGACTCAGGGCAGCATGAAACATGGGTTCCTGCTACATCCTCAAGCCTTCTCTGTCTGAGAATCCACAGAAGCAGGTGGAATCTGTGGTCCTTTGGTGTCGCTTGATACAGAATATGGTTCTGTTGTAGCTGCTGATTTAGAAGAAAGTGATCCAGCCTCATTTGACAGATCCAAAGCTGCAGAAGTCAAGAGGTTTTTTTTTTCTTACACAAATACAGCTGATAGAAACCTGGTGCAGGATATTTCCAACATAACTGGAAAATTTGGTCGTTGTCCTCTTCAGACTAACAAGCTTTTAATGAGGAAGTAAAGACAAGAAGAAGGAAATAAAATGCTGCACAACCTCTGTGTTCATTTGACCTTTTTGATTTCTGCATTTCCTTTGTGGTTTAGACTGGGGCTCTTTTTAGACTCTTTAGATATAATTTTCTTTAAAAAAAGGCTACAGTTGTGGGGAAGGACCATCCCTTTCTTTGGCTTGATACAGCTTCAAATTAAACTGCTTAAAAATAGACTCCAGTGCCATGGGGAAACTCCTAGTCTTTTTCTAATGCACATGGATTAAATTAGCCCTGTGTTACCCTAACACCTGTTCAAGGTAGATGTAGGAAATTGACTCCAAAGAATGGACTTCTTGTCTCCATTACTAGTTGTGATGGGAGAAAAGAAATTGACTGTGCAACTGTAACTCTCAGAGGAACAATGGAAACCACCTTGGTTTTGCATTTTTAGCACTACAGAGCTCATTTCTGTATCTTTACTAATGAATAAAATGGGACTTTCGATTTACTTTTATGACTGCTGTTGAAGACAGGTCTGATGTTTTCAAAAATAGTCTATATATCACCCCAAATGTTTCTGGGTAGAGATAGTTCAGACCCCATCACCATGTTCTTGAAGTTATATATATATTTATATGTATATATATATAAAGTTTGCAATACTAGTGGTGTTTATTGATTGCTACTTTGTCACCCAATCACTCACTATCAAGAGTTGCCCATACAATTCCTCACACTCAACTTTCAGGCTTGTCATCCTGAATGGTTTAGTATCTTCATCAAAACTGGCTGCTGTTTTAGCCATTCCTTTTTACCCAGTCACTCGGGAATACCCAACACAAGAGAGACTTGGAGCAGCTAGAACAAGTCCAGAGGAGGCCACCAGGATGACCTCAGGGCTGGAGCAGCTCTGCTGTGAGGACAGGCTGAGAGAGTTGGGGCTGTTCAGCCTGGAGAAGAGAAGGCTCCGGGGAGATCTTATAGTGGCCTCCCAGTACCTGAAGGGTCTAAAAGAAAGCTGGGGAAGGACTTTTCATAAGGGCAGGTAATGACAAAACAAGGGGAAATGGGTTTAAGATGAAAGAGGGGAGGTTTAGATGAGATATTAGGAAGAAGTTCTTCACTGTGAGGGTGGTCAGACACTGGAACAGGTTGCCCAAGGAAGTTGTGGATGCCCCCTCCCTGGAAGGGTTGCAGGCCCGGTTGGATGAGGCTTTGAGCCACCTGGTCTAGTGGAAGGTGTCCCTGGTGATGGCAGGGGGGTTGGAACTGGATGATCTTTAAGGTCCCTTTCAACCCAAACCATTCTATGATTCTATGATTCTAATACGTGACACTGCATAGACTTACTTATTTAAAAGCACTGCACGACTCAATGAGCCTTGAGTCAAAGCTACAGAGAAAATGACTGTTAATAACAATAAAAGATCACAGCTATTGGTTTAAGAAGACATTTATTTTTGTGTGTGAATAAAATAATAATATATATATTGCTTCACATCCTCCAAGAGCTGCATGAGCCTGAACTGATTGAACATCCAAACATCCCCGTGAGGTAGGCTGGAATAAGTGGCCAAGGTGACAAAGTGGCTTGTGTATTAAAAGCAAAAAAGGGAGTGACTTCAGCAAGGAAAAGCCTGGATCTCCAGAAGCGGTGTGCTAACAGGATGTGCCCTCTGGAAGCTTCTTTTAATGCTTATTTGCAGGAGGGTTTAGATAGAGCAGGAATCCATCAAAATCATCTCCTCAAGGCAGTGGAAATGTTGCTGGTATAAGGGCACTGACCCAGGAAAGGCTTCTCTTGTTACTCTGCCACAACCCTGTAAGGTTACAAAGGTTCATGTTATTTCACTGAAGTGTAATTTAGACTCAATCTCTAAAAGCCTCAATTACCTTTCAGAATAAATGTACTGGATGGATTCAACCTACAGGTGTAAAAACCTACATTTAGATGCCTCCATGGAAGAGTCCCCATGTGTGCTGGATGTCTAGGTCTGCAGATATCCAGTCTACAAGAACTATGGTCACTGGAAAACTAGTTATACTACCACTAGTAATAAAATTTTGATTTATCTGACCCCAAAATAAAGATTGGGTATTTGATTTAGTTACTGAATCACACAAGTCTAGCACCATTTGAGGAGCTCTGGGGTATCTGCTTGACCTCCAGACATCTTTTCTGAAAAGCAATGAAAAGCAATGAAAACCCATAGGTCATGAGCTATCTTATCTAGACATGTATATATGGTTTAAATACTCCAAGGCACCTCAAACATCTCAACGTAGCTTACTGAATCAAACTCTTTGTGTCCAATTGCAAAGATTTTTTTTGAAGTAACTCAGTAGTTTGAATCCTGAGCTGGAAAAAAAAATTATATTGTACCTCAGAACACCCTGTTGGTTTCAACTTTTCTACTGCTGTATTGATCAACCCAGCTGAAAATCTAACAGCTCAATAGGAAGAGTTTTAATCTTGTACATTAACATCCATCCATATCACATATACACACATTCTTCTGAGAAAGAGTATTTCTGTAGAAAATTACACCTGGAACCAAACTCAAGAGGTCTTGTTCCTTTCCCAGAACAAATTCCTCTTTTATCAGGCCTAAGAGATGTTCTTATAGAAATTTGATGTTGGAGATCTGCCATCTGCTTCTACCACTCTATTTGAGAAATTGCTTCCTAAAGAGAGTGATCATTCACAGAGCCTGAGGGATCACATCATTTCTTTGTAAAATCATCTAATAGTAGGTGGCTTCTGTATCATTTACTTTCCTGAGTTCCTAAGTGGATGCTTCCTTAGCATCTTAATCTCCTGAAAACAAACACGTCCTATTCTTGGTATGACTTGAGTTTCCTGAAACCACTGTCTGGCTGAGGATCTCCATGTGCTGAACAAATCCTATGAAACTTCTTCCCTAAAGCCACCTCATCACATGTCCTTCAGTTTCTGGGAACCTTTAAAACCTGGAAATTCTATAAATAACACAATAAGGAGTTCTGGAGAATTCAGAAAATACAGATTTCTCCCTTTATTTTGAATCAGGTTCTTTCCAGTCACATCAATGATCTGCCTGAACATCTCTTGCTGGCATGGGTTATGTCATCACACCCATCTTTTTTATAAGAAGATACAGGAACCTCTCTTAATTTGCCACTGAATTCAGTGTATGTGATAGTCACTGCAGCTGGCCATGATCATCATGTGGCCATCAGTGGAACAAAGTTATTGTAAGAATTAAATGCCTGAGGAATATGTTTTATCCTAGATGTAAGTGCATTCTCCAAAAGCATGGTCAAAATCTTAAGGAAAGAAAAAAAATCTTGCTGTCAGGGAAACAACAGACATTATTAGTGGTCTCCAAAGTTGAAAGTGAAATGCACACCCAGTGGTCTCCAGTCTCTGACAAATTCACTCTTCACCTTTCTAAGAGCTGCACAGTGGTGGAAGGAAGGAGAAGCAGAGTTCTGTGAACATTTTTCCCCCATTAAAATTAAATTTTCTAAGTCATTTTGGAAATGAGAAGAACAGAGGGAGGATATATTGTTTCTACATTGATGGGTGAAGATGCTGTGAAGTATTTTCCTAATAATTCCTTGAAAAAACTTATTTTTCATCCCACATCAACATTTGAAATACAGTGAAAAATACTGAATTCTGGGAAATTCTGACCCTCTTGAATTTTTAGTCTCATATAAAACTTCCATCCAAATGAACTGTCTCCTTAAACACACATGTAGGATGTTTACATGTTCATCTGCCATCTGAACTTCCTCTCAAATGGCTATACCCTGCAAGCCCCATGGAGTTGTGCACATTATTCAAAGAAACAGTAGATAAAATGGCAGGATAAAAACACCCTCTGATGCCTTTCAGTCCTGTGGCACTTACTTTGAACAGCATTTCAGCAGCCCCCCGTGGCACGACCCTGAGACAGCGAAGGTGGGTGGGCATGTTCCAGCACGGCAGAAATTTCCCTGGCTCCTGCACTCTGCGGTGTCAGGAAAAAGAGGATCTGCAGAACCTGTGGGAAGTGGTTAAAGAGACATTAAAATCTCAGTTTGCAGTCTAGAATGATGAAGGATAAATATGTAATAAATCATGTGTTGCTGTTTTAGGTAGTGTGCCATCATGAGAACAGACATTCTTGGTCCCATTCACTGCATAGCACCAACCCGACAGTACTAGTGGAAGGTGTCCCTGCTGATGGCAGAGGGGTTGGAACTGGATGAGCTTTAAGGTGCCTTCCAACCCAAACCAGTCTATGATTCTATCAGATTTTGCCTGTCAGTTGATGGTTGGTTTTTTCCTCCTATGCATACACATCTACTGACAAGCCTTTTAATTCTTTGTAGGAGTCTCACCTGGAGCAGCCTGGAAGAGGAGGAAGACAATAGCGAAGAGCAGGTAGAGGATCCTCATGGTTGCCAGTCGGTTGTGGACTCTGTGCTCCTGCAAAGTGACTGAAAGACCAATGAAGGATGAAATTTGTTTGAGGAAGAGACTAGGAAAGGCACCTGGTATTTATAGGGCCCATGGGATTGTGCAAGTTTGATGGCTGAGTGCTTTGTCAATAAGTAACTGCAACCACCCTTCTGGAAAGGAGACTGGTTATGATCCCCCTTATCGTGGGTTGCAATGAAATGTGCAGCCAACATGTTGCAACCCCCAAGGGTGAATTTCCACTGACCGTGTCGGTTATACAATGTGACCATTAGCCAAGTCCCACTGAACTCAAGAAAGGACCTCGGCACATGGTCATGGACCTGCTGGAACGGGTCCAGAGGAGGGACACAAAAATGATCATAGGAATAGAACAGCTCTGCTGTGAGGACAGGCTGAGAGAGTTGGGGTTGTTCACCCTGGAGAAGAGAAGGCTCCGGGGAGATCTCATTGCAGCCTTTCAATACCTCAAGGGGGCTTATATAAAAGATGGGGATAAATTTTTAGCAATAGGACAAGGGGTGATGGTTTTAAACTAAAAGAGGGGAGATTTAGACTGGATGTAAGGAAGAAATTCTTTACAATGAGGATGGTGAAACACTGGCACAGGTTGCCCAGACAGTTGCCCACCACTTGCCTGTGCTGGTTTCACTGGGCTAGCACTTGGCTAGCAGCCAAGCACAACTGTTCCCTCACTCCTCCCCACCCAGGGGATAAGGGAGAGAATTGGG